TACTGGAATTTGAATTACTGGAATTTGAATTACTGGAAAATGAATTACTGGAATTTGAATTCTGGAAAATGAATTACATTTCTGTAAAATGAATTACATTTCTGGAAAATGAATTACATTTCTGGAAAACATCTGGAAAACGTTTTATGATGTTTGGAAGATGTTATTTAAACATTTTTTCGGTATATTTTAGTGAAATAAAATTTTATAAATTATATTAATTATTTATTAAAGTAATAGTACTATATTATATTTTAAAAATATTAATTAGTATATTTTAATATCTTTACTAAAATATTATTGAAATATATAATAATATTATTCATTATTAAATATATAAAAAAATTATTATATATTATTAAAATAAAAATATAATATCTTATATTATTATATAATTGATTATTTTATATATATTAAAAATATAATATTATATTATTATAAATATTAATAAATATATTTTAAATATTTTAATAATTAATATTTTGATGAAAATGACATTAAAATATTTTATTAATATTAAATTCATAAAATAAAATTATTTTGAGTATTTTTGCTTTGAAGTGAAAAGTTCGGAAAATGACTTACGGAAAATGAATCCGTAAGTCATTTTACAGAAAACACAAAGGAAATTCTGTTACTAGGAAAATGAATTACATTCCGGAAAACGAATTACGTGAAACAAACACGGGAAAACGTTTTCTTAAAAACGAATTACGTGAAACAAATATGGGAAAACATTTTCCGAAAAACGAATTACGTGAAACAAACACTGTAATTCGAGGAAAACCAATTCCGTAATTCGAATTACGGGAAACAAACATACCCTTAATTCAAAAACAAATAATGGTCGTAAATGAGTTCACTCAGTTGAGTTGTCTGAAACCGTGTCCTTCTTCTTCTTCCTCACCTCCCTATAAATCTTCCGTTCAACATCTATTTTTTTCCTCCATTTAAGTCCTCGCATTTGCTCTCAAAACTCCCCACCGTGTTCATTTGGCGCTGCAACAAAAAAATGAACGCAGCTTTGGGTGACGATGGAGATTATATTTACTCACACGAGAAGCATCTCACCGTTCTCAAAACTTCACTTTTCTTCGCCAACGATGGCTTCATTGTTTACGATTGCAAAGGCCAGTTACTTTTCTTGAATGAAAACAAGGAATCAATGGCTGAGATCAAACGGAAAGTTGATGCCTCCACGAACGTGGTACTTGGGAAAGAAGTTTTCTTGCTCTCCTTGAAACCTGGCTTTGATGGAGCCTTTGCTATGGGGTTGGTGCTTGTTATTGATCAGATCAACGGTGATGATCATCTTAAGAGACGGACGCAAAATCTTATATTAGAGTGGACGGACCTAAACTTATAAAACTTCAATGAGTGAATAAAATTTTAAAAGATAAAAATAAATTTTTAATAAAAAAATACATATAAATAATTTAACATTATGATAATTTTAGATTTTTAAGTAACGATCATCTCTATCCGTCCCGCGTAGACTCATCTCTAATTATACCAACAATTAGGAGGCTGAGGTGCTCCCCCAACTAATTGTATTATTATTAGATTTTTCTTATTTTGATAAAAGGGATTTGTGGAAACACAAAATAAAATTGCTTGATTTTGCCTTGGATCAATGTGAAGTAAAGATGGAGAATTTCTTCTCGGGAACAACAAAAACTCTAATTTTCTTTCTATTGTTTCCTTTGTGCTGACAAAATGCATACATCTAATAGACTGGTTGTGTACCATCGAATTTTATGAAACTCGATGTATGATTTATTGTCTGTGAATAAGCTTTAACCCTTGAGATCAAGCTATGATTGCAACATGAGTTTCAAAGTCTATTATTCGAAATACAACACCAGTGGACATTTGTATTTATATAACCCTTAGTGTATTTAATTTTTAACTTTACTAATCTAGGGCAATTATAAGCGACATCATATGTTCTATAAACTTTCAATCATTTTACAATAAACGTTAAAATATCATGTGATTGTTGTTGTACGAACTTATAACCTCTAAGAATAACAACTATTCCTTTAAACACTTACATTCTAAGATAGTTTAGTTTATATAGTTCAACTGTTCAAGAATGATTATCGATCTTATACAAAAATGATCATCATGTATTGTAAACTACAAATAATTTTCAAAGTAATATAAATTTGGTTACACATGAAGTCGATAAGTACAATTCCAAATGAATTGAGTGTAGAACAAAATTTCTATACATTAATTATTAATTAATAAATAAACATAATTTTCTATTATAAAATTAGATAAATATCAATTATAATACTTAAATAAAAAAAATCAATCTGACCAAATTCAGCCTTCACAAGTATGTTTATTATTAAAATTTGCCATAGGCTCTCTAGATACTTACAACCCTAAACTTTGTAATAAAACAACAGCCGGAGCCACGGAAACCAATACGTAAGACGGTCTTAACCAACCCTGAGCTGCAATTTCCTACGAGAAAAGCAAGTTAAGAAAATTAATAGAGAAAACAACGCTAAATCAGTATATTATAACAATAATAAAAAAACTAATATCTTCATATAAACTCATTATTCGGATTTAACAATTTTGCATAAGCCATGATCATTAGAAATAAGGATGGATTGAGAAGAGCTGGTGGAGTTATTGTCTTTTTTAAAGATTTTAAATTTTAGATAATTTAAATATTTTATTTTTATTTTTATTTTTGTTGATAATCTGGTTTTACTTCTAAAACTGTAGATGTTCATCCTAATATAAAATCGTGCTCCCATCTATAAAAAGAAAAGGAATATTATAAGATGGGCTGTGAAGAAAAGCAAAGCATACCTTAAAAGAGAGAAGTGAGGATGAGGCTGCAGCAGAAGGCACAAGCCCAGTGAATCCAACATCATATGCAATGCTTCCATCAGGCTTGAACAATCCGAAGTTCCTCTCCGATGTCGGTCCCGGCTTTGAGTTTTCATTGAACAATGCAAAAACATAAGCCCTCACCACCATATGCGGTCGAAAGGGCGTCCCCTTCTTCTTAGCCAAACGTTTCCGGAGGTTCTTATTACAAGTCTTGGCATTCTTCACCGTGGCACCGGCTTCATCGGGATCGCCACGAGACGCCCAACCGGTTTCTGACACGATCACTTCTATCTTGCTGAAACCGGCTTTTTCTAACGCCGCATAAGCGGCATCAACATGAGCCTCAAACATGTTATCATAATGCAGCTTAGTCTTTGCATCATAAATACCGGGATTATCTTTGAACAATGCATAGTTGATGTCAATATGCTGAGGGTCATTCTTATAGGCTAGAAATGGATATGCGTTTATGTAAAATGGAGAGCCAATCTGTGAGAAAAACTCCAGAAGTGGCTTCATGAAAGACGCGACATCTGGTCAAAAAATGCAGGCCGATGGAGGGAAAGAATTGGCGAACACAGCCTCAGAGTGTGGACTTGAGACCTGCACAATACGGTGTAACCCCAATCTGTACAGAGCAGCATACACATTCTTTGCTGCTGGCAATAGAACCTCCCAAAGTTCCATGGTAGTCCCTCCCAATATCTCGTTGCCGACCGCTATACCTCTTATTCGTGTTCCTGGAAGGAATGCCTGTACATTTTCTTTCACCCAATTCATGGCACGATCCTCCCCCGTACTCATTTCTGTCAAAAATTCATTAGGAAGACCAATTATAATTTCTATACCGGATCCTTTAAAGGCCTGGAGAACACCATGATCAGCGTTGTAGATTCGAATATGGTTTATCTTTGCGGCTTTTAGAAGTGACACCACACTCTCTGGTGCCGGTTGATTGTTCGCTATCCTGCCATAGTTTACTCCATAGGTCCATGTGACTGAATGTGAAGCTGAAACTGCACACCCCACAGAACACGAATTAGTATAAGAATTCATCAAATCAGCATGACAAAGACATACAAGGAAAAGTGCATACCAGTAGAGCATATGGCAGATAAGATGAGAAAACCAGAAAAAGAGAGAAGAACCCATATGAGATGTGGAAAGATAATCAAAGAATGTGCATTGAATTTGTATAAAATAGGTAGGGGATGATCCAGTCTTTGGTGACTTAAAAGGTGATGCAAAAAGAAGGCAAGACTTGTTAAGCAGGCATGTCATAAAACCACCCAAGAAATTATTATTCTTAACCTTCCTTATTTTAAAGATGATGTGCCAAAAAGGCCAAAGAAAGATGAACAAGAAGAAGATTCTTAACTTTAACCCAAAGATCAGAAAAACTAGTAGATTCTTACTCCGAAGTATGCCCTTTTTTTCAACTTTCTATTCTTGGGGGATTGTCTCTTTATAATTAACACTGTTGCTCGTAGAAGTACATGAACCCCATGTGTGCATATGAATAGTTGAATATGTTTATGTATACCTTTCTTCAGTATGAGAAGTGAATCATTGATTAATGATGGAAATAAGTTCGGCTTTTGCTTGTCGCTTTTGCATTACAGAAGAGGTGGCATGATTAATAAGCTACTTAATTAGGCTTCGGGAGGAAAATAGTTTTGGTTTTTAGAAAGAAAACTGTACTTTGAATATTCCAGTAATCATTGGCAATACACCTTCAATTTTTGCTTTGATAACACCAAATAATCATGTAAACGGATCATGAGAACGACTAGTGTCGTGCTAATGAAATGAGCCCTGCGAAGAAAAATAAATTGTAGGACCGTGGCAGAATCATGGTTCAGCGATCCTACATGTTTTAAGCAGGAGATAACAAGGCTGCAGTTTAAATAAGTGGATCCCGGTTCTACACACTCGGAATGATGCGATGGTTTTGACAAGTCATAACAGAGACAAAAAAGATATCACATTCTTGCGCCATCTTTCGTTCCAGCTTTCTCCATCCTCCATAGTAACTATATTAAAAAGAGCAAAAGAAACATCCTCGTTGTGTCTACAACATATCAAAGCATACACAAAGCCAAGTGCAGTTAATCAGTAATATAACATGTAACGTTCAATCTGACACTTAAGCAACAAACCATAAATCATGAGTTCCGGGTGCCTACAATCTAAGTTCTGCACAATGTAACAAAAGCTGCAATTTTCATACCTACTTCTTACAAGGGTACAGGTGGATTGTTATCCAACTGACAACCAAATCTAGCAGATACATAATTAATGTTACAGTCATCCATGGAATCACAGGTTACACAGAAAAAAACAGAAAAGAAAGTAAACGGGGTAGCTCGGACATTGGATTATTTAGCTGCTCACAGGAGCAGCAGCTCCTCTAGGTTGTGTGGTATCAGCTTGTTCACTTTCTTTAACCTTACCGTTTTCGATCATCTCTGCATCTACTGCCTTGCCTTTGTCCTCTACCTCTAAACCTCGTTGTTTCTCTTTGACTTCTCCCTCGGATATAGGGACTCCTCCCTTTGGATTCTCTCTCTCTACTCCCTCGTTAGCTCCCAGTGTCACGGTTTCCGTATCTTCTGACTGTTTCTCACATGTACCATTCTCTGTCTCTGCCTGAGTTTCTGGCACCTTTTCTGTAGGGGCTTCCTCCTTTTCCTTTCCAGTTCGAATCCCATCTTCTGCAGGTTTCTCTTGAACCTGTATTGGAGTCGGGGTTTCTTCAGTCCCAGCAGAATCTTCTTTTTTGACAGCCTCTGCAGTTTCTAGAACCTTAACATCCTTAACAGCTTCTTCTCGTCCAGCTTCCTCCATCTTGGCATCAGGGTGCTCAGTCTGGTCCGTTGCTTCTGCTTTACCTCCATCGTGAACCTGAGTTTCGATGGAAGTATCTTTTTCAACTTCTGCAGTTCCCATTTCAGGCTCAGCGGCTTCTGCATCTTCCTTTTCACTTTCTTTCTCACCTTCAGCTTTTTCAGGATTGGCCTCTGTTTCCTTTTCTTCCTTCTTAGCACTCAATGATTTTCGGACTCGCTTCTTTGGGGGTTCCTTTTCCGGTGTTGGAGTAGCCTTGGCCTTTTCAATGATCCTTGACGATCTTCTAGGGGTCTCACCGGTACTCCAATCAAACTCCTTTATTGGTGGATTACCTGGGTGTGCTTTTAGGTACTGCTCCATTTGTCTCCTGCTACTAATCTCCTCCCCAGTTGGTGCAATGAACATGATCTCGGTCTTCCTTGGTGAACCAACTTTCTTGGGGAAAAACTGTAAAAATAAACCGGAGAGACATGTTATAAATGTAAACTACAGCCATCAAATCAAATAGACAAGGCACAGTAACTTGAACCCTAAAATATGCAATTCAAAATGTGTCATTGACATCCTGTGGACCAATGTTTCTTGGACTTGGGGTATGATATCATATACAAGTGTATGTACGACATAAGCTGTTCGATTTTCCTAAGTTTTTCCATATATAAGACGATCGGGCCTCCATACACATCCACTAATAATATGTATCGGACACGGGTACTTCTGGAATTAAGTGTTTGAGCAGCATAGCTGTGCAGAGAGATATGATAAACCTTTCTTACTAACAACATCCCACTTTAACTGAGATGAAACAGCATAACCAAGTCCGCTTCGATGGTTAAGCCCAAAAGTCAGAAAGCTTTATTTTCTGTGTGCTCCCTTACTACTAGCGAACGTCTATCTCACACTCACACAACATCCTATACCAACCTAATAATTTCAAAATAAAAGATTAACCTCAATTTCTTTCAAGCTTCGGAGATTTCTCCCACATTTCATAGCTACTTCGATAGAGTTTCCTCCGATTCTAAAGAAGCCTGAAAGAGAATAAAGCAGATTTTGGCTGGGAAAACAAGCATGATTGTCACCGAAGCTCTCATGAAGTTCACTATATAAAGCAAACTAGGAGTCCTCCTTTCTCCAAAGAATAAAAATTACTTTGGGAAAACAGTTGGAGGAAAGTTTACCTATCGTGTAAGAAACTAACTTACCCTAAAAATGGCTGAAAAATCAAAACTTCAACAAAACCCTAATTTCAACTATCACCAGCAACACAAAAGGTAAAAACTTAAAAGCTAACCGTAATGATATAATTACAACCAAAATCAAACAAATTAAAGCTAAATAACACTAAAAAAAAACTTAGCAGTAACTTCCCGAATTCACACAAAACAACACAAATTTTTCAAGGGAAAAAAAAGCTAGAAAACACTAACAGCAAGATGCAAAATTTAAAGGAACAAGCAAATTGACACATAAGTACTCAAAACGTCAAAAAATTAATTTTTTTTTTAAATTACCAGTTTCTTCCAAGAAGCAGGTGCAGGAAGCTCAACAGAAACAACATCCTCCTTACTCTCCATTCTTTTCACCTGCAAAAGCAATAAATTCTTATCTGAACAAGAAAATAAAACCCTAACAATACATACCCTTCTTTCTCTGAATGTTTTTACCTTAAAAAGGGCTTCTTTTCTTCTTCTATTTTCTCTGTTCTCTCTATTTTGAATTTGTGTTTTGTGTGGTAAGAAGACGAAAGGGCGATAAAAACCGTTGAGACTTCAGTTCGGGATCATGTCGTCTTTTTTTGGGTGAACTACACCCAAAGTCACTTAATTATAGGTTTAGTAACAAACTGGTTCTTTTTTTTCTAAAAAATATAAACAAGTAACTCAATTAAAATATTATTATAAATAAATCACTTTATTATTAAATAATAAACGGAAAATAAATGTAACCTGATAATAATAATTTCAGTCCCTAAAATTTATATAAATTATCAATCTGATCCTAATCCAAAATAAATTAAAAAATTTAACTCTTCATATTTAAAATATCTATCATTTTAGTTTTTATTTTTCTTCTAAATTGTTTGTTTTTTCTTCCTGAAATGTCATATTACTTCCATTTTTTTTCTTAGTAAAATAATAATTTGATAATAAATTATTATTTTATGACAGGATACAATTATCTGATTATTGTTTTGGTCTGATGAGTTCATTTATTTGAATGTATCATAAAAGATAAATCGATGAAAAATTTAAATATAAAGGATTATATTTAATGAAATTAATAAAATATATAAATTTTAGGAGCTAAAAATTAATTTGGTGTATTTTACCTTTTTTTTCTTTCGCAAAATCTAACGGGGAAGTGATAGAATTACGTCTCAAGGCACGGAAATTTTAGTGTAATAAGAAGCAATCTCCAATGAGACGATGCCATTTGGTCTTTTAAAAGGATAGCTCCTACCATCCGATGAGTTGGCTTTTGTTTGAGAAAAGGGATTGTAGACATGCGCCTTAGATTCGCGGTTTCAAAAAAAAAAATCTGTTCGGTCCTCGTGCAATCCAGGCTAACTTTGAGAATATAGTATTTGGATAATATCCAATTTGGTACTAAATATAACTTCACAATTCAAATTAGAATCTTTTTTGGGTCGAAGTAGTACATGAACTTGGATTCCGTTACCCCGAATTATAACTAAAATTTGTAAGCGTTAAAGTTCAAGTTAGTACATGAATTCAATTTCTTAGCTCGAATTGGTGAAATACCTTTGAGTATTGATTTGAACCAATAAGCTAAATTCAAGTACTAGTTTGAGAATTGAAGGTACAAGTTTAAACATTTTTATTTGCATAGTGTACGCAAATTTATCTAGATTTAAAATTATATATAGATATTATTTTATAATCATATTAGAACGTTAAGAAAAAAAAATTGTAGACATCCGTTTTTGTCTGGATCTGAAAAAATATTATTATTATTATTATTAAATTACATTTTACAATTTTTGCAGGCCTAAACCCGAGCCCACGTAAAAGCCTCACTCAGAGCCCAGACAAGCAACCCAGCAACACCCAACAACCCACAAGTGTCAGAACCCATGACCCGACTCAGCAGCCCACCAAGAAAATCTAGACACTACCCCGGATTCGAATCCGATCCAGACTCTACCCAGGCCCAACACAATTCGACCTGGCCCAGTCTACGTGTAAACCTGATTAGGGGTAGAAGTCAAATAGAAGTCAAATCAACCCCAAGATATCATCTACAGTTCAAATGTACCCAAAAATAGTAATCCAAAACCAAAATCAAAACCCCATACCTAAATCCTAATTTTTTCAGGATTTAATCCTGCAAAATCAGAAACAACATTCCCCTATCATTCTAGATGTCAACATCTCACCAAACAAAGTAATCAACCATAAATAAAAAATCATATTAGAAAAGAGGGGATGGGGAGTTAAAAAAAACAAGGAGAGGGAGAGAGAGGGAGCTTCGAAGAGAGATTTGGAGAGAGAGAAAATAAATACAAAAGAAAGAAGGAGAACAGAAAGACAGTGGCTTACCTTGGTCGAACGTCGATGAGCCAAGGGTTGTCGGAGCCGAATGTTTCTTCATAGATCTATAGCGTTTGAGCCATTTTTAGGCCAAACCGACCTCAGACCCCGTTTGAGCTCCAACGGAATCTGGGCTTCGGTTAAAGCCTTGAGAGAGTTTTCTCTCTGATCTCTCTCTCTCACTCTCTCTCTCTTACCCCGTTTGAAATGAGATAATGGTCAATTTGTGGTTCATTTGAGCCATTTATATATGGATCGAAACAACGCCGTTTTAAGGGGGACTTGGGGAGCATTTTCGTGCATGGGTTATTCACTGTAAAGGTCCTCCATATCTTGTAATCCTCTATTTTAGTCATTAATACAATGTTAGTTTCTTTTTAATTCGAGCTCTTGTTTTGTATATGTTGCAATTTAGTCATGTTATTGTATAGTATGTTATGTTTGTTAATTTTCGAATTTGGTCACAATGTTTTATAATGTTATATTTAAGTCACTGATTTCCTATATTGTGTATTTTTCTTTGATATTCGAATCTGAACATCATATTTGTAAATCTATCATTTTAGTCATTATTTTACATTTGGTTTATTTATTATTCAGCCTTCATGTTTTTTGTTTATTGCAGTTTAGTCGTAAATACTATTTATGGGTTATTTTCTATTTCTAGTGCCTGTAATGTTAAATATTTGTAATATGGGTTATAGTTTATTTGTAATAATTGTTTTAGTCCTTTTAGTTGTTGTTTTTACTATTTAACCCTTCAAGATTCTATTTTTTACTGTTTTAGTCCTTTAAATATCTGTTTTTGCTATTTTAATCCCTTAAATGTCTATTTTTAATATTTTGGACCTTTAAATGTATGTTTTTGTTTTTTGGTCCTTTAAGTTTCTGTATTTGTTCTTTTGCTCCTTTAACTTTATGTATTTACTGTTTAGCCCTTTTAATTTCTGTTAATTTTATTTTAGTCTTGTAAATACTTATATTTTGATGATTTCATTTTGGTGTGTAATGTTCATTTATTTTTATTTTAGTCATTTATGTATGAATGTATTTTATATATTATGTGGTTATTTGTATTATGTAAATAATGTGTTTAGTTCCATTTAATGTAAATATTTATATTTCCAATTACATTTATTTCCATTATATTTTTATCTATGTATGAAATATTCGATTTTATTTTCAAGAACACATATGCGTAGAATGAGCTTGGAAAGTACCACTTGGTCGAAGGGGTGCGATCCGATACGACATTTTAATGACATAGGAACTTGAAACAAGTCGAGTATATTATACTAATTAATTTATTCAAATAATGCAATGTGTGTTATTTTAAGTAACATTTTACTTTATTTTATGTGAATGTAAACTTCAAATTTCTTTAATTTGTTTTCGATTCATGTTTTAGTTAATCAATTTATTTTGTTGTATGTAAACATTGCTTTTTATTTATATTCGATTCGCATATTTATTGTTATTGATGAGGGAATATTTTTTACGGATAAGAAATAGACGAGATAACTTTCCCGATGGAGGATTGCTAATATTGAGATTTCTTTTCAAGTTAAAGAATTTTCTTTAAGTAATTAATTCAAAGCAAATTAATTCAATTTCAATAAACTGATCATATTTTAACTTTATATTCGATTCATGATTTTCACCATTTTGACAACGTATAAGCAACAAAATACCAATTTCGGGCGCAGTGGGGGTACTAATCCTTCCCCACGCGTAACTGACTCTCGAACCCCTTTTAATCGAATCTTTGTAAACGCATACCAGTTTTTTTGTCTAAAAAATGATTTTTCTTAAAATTGTTTTTAAAATACGTTTTTTAGGTATTCGACCTACCTAACCCAAAGGTCAATGACGACTCCCTTTTCCATTTTTATTCAAATCAATTCAAAACCGACCAATTTTCCAAAAATTAAAGTCATAATCATTTTTTAAAATAATATTTAATTGTTTTTCTAAAAAAATGGTTATGACAGCTTGGCGACTCTGCTGGAGACTTTTTTTAGATAATCAGGTTGTAAGTCGCTTACACATTGTCGTCTTAGTGGAAATTATGAGCTCGAGTCTTTAGTTAACTTATGATCCGTTTATTGAAGTTTTTAATTGCTTTATTTTTAATTGTCATACTAACATTTTAATTTTTGCTTTTCAGTTTTATCCAAGTTTTTGTCGATGTTTTTCCTCTTTTCCCTTTTTGAGTCAAAGGTAGGTACGTTCCCCCTCACACACATCACTTGCATTTGCATAACATAAGGTCTAGGCACGAACTTCGATCCAAATTAGTCAGGGTGATTGCTTTACTCTCGTAAGAATTTATTCTTCGTATGAGTTTTAGAAAATAACCCATGGGATGCATACCTTATACCTTCGTAGGGATTTATTCCTCGTATGGGTATAAGGCAGTAAATCCCCTCAAATTGAACTCGTTACGTTCGAAACCTGTAATGGGTGAGGATCGAGGGTTTGGCAGCCTAAGGGGGCATCGACATCAAGGACAATCTGGGTACCCTTTTTCTATTAGAGTCGAAACCATGCATATAGTGAACCGTAGAACGATCACCCTAGGTATAGTCATACCGAACCTCTATCCGTCAGTAGGTATCCAAAATAGGTGTACACGAAGGAGGAACGACTCTAAACCTTTACCTTTTGCTTTAAGTTCATAGAATATATTTATTCTTTTTTAATAACAGCATGCGAACTAGATACCATGCAGTTATGATCAATTTCTTAAAAAATCATTTTGGGTAGATAACATGTCCGGATAGGATTACTATCTAATAAAAGTATGCATGGGTAAATATCATGATTGAGTAGGTGTTATATTTATCTGTATATATAGCATATTTTAACTCTATTGATTATATTGTTTGTACTAACTTATTTTTCTCTTGTGTTTTTGTTACTAACTCATTTTTCTCATTTGTTTGTGTCATTTTTCATCCTTTTTTACATTACATCTCATTGTCATGACATAATACGAAAAATATTGATCCGCAAGGGGATACTCAAGTGAAAATTTTCTCAAGAAGAGATAAAAGTTTTCAATCAAGCAGTCGCATATATAGACATGCATTGAAGGCTAAAAGAAGTTCAGAGAGTACAAGAATGAGACTTGCTCGAAGATCGTGCAGTATTCGAGAATAATATGATAGTCCACTAATCTGAGGAGTAATCCAGCAATAGATTATCATCTACGATCATTCCATCACTAATCATCAATGA